GACCAATGATTACTCATTAACGGTGAAGATTGTTAAGGTTAGCTTGTGTTTCAGTACATAGTAAACCATTAGTCAAAGTATCTKATGTAATACAGGAAAGAAATCAAAAATTGTGTGGCACTTAAAGAGCAAATTATGTTGAACAAATATGCATAAAAAAATCCTGATTGTGTGGAAAATTGAGCAAAATGTTTAYATTTGCTTGACTTAAATGGTTGTTTTTCAGATGAAGGCCCTTGCTGGTACCAAGAAGTCTTTTGAGCTTCAAAARCTCATCCATGAGGTATGTATTGGTGTCATATCATAGAGAACCTTAYRTGCTAAGAACTCTGTCCCATTTCAGTTTSTAAAACACACTTTTGTTTGTTTCTTACCAGGGCACTAGTGAACCTATTCGTGGATTCAGAAAAGACTCTTCTTCAAGTCTATTATCCCATATGTATTCAGTAGTACGGACCAGTCGGCAACCCAGACGGTCTCTTCTGCAATCACTGCTTAGACTGTTTGATGATCTTAAGGTGGGCTCGTGATTTTGAATTGTTGTTTGTTTGTATTTACTTGTCTACCATTTATTATAAATCGTTTATTCATTTCCTTTCCATTTGGTTATTGATTTATGCATGCATTCAGTCATCTATTTCTCCATGACATCCCCCATCTCTCCCTCCATTTTTGTTAACGTAAAGTTGTCAAAGGTTGCACATTCTCTGGTCTTTCACAATTTCTCATATTATTTCAATCTGTTTGTTCATTAATCTGTTTATTCACATATTTCTCTTCACTCCATTCCTCCTATCTAAAGCTATGTTGTGTTATTATGTAGAAAAGCAAGCTTGACCTGTTACTGTATGTGACTGATACACTGGCATACTTCCCCTATGTGATCCTAGATGAACCATTGTTTATYATGCACCATATTGATACTATGCTATCAGTGTCTGGTGCTCACTTAYTGCAGGCTTTCAAAGAGGTACTTGTGGTCATTCTATGATATTTTTTATTTGGTCTTTTTCACATGATTGAATAGAAGAATTGCACTTATTGCATAATTATGTCACACCAAAACATTCTATTGTAAGTTATAACGCTAAGGATTATGGTTGCCAGAGAGGATATTAGTCACTGCATATCAAATAAAATGTAGATGAGCTATCATTGATAAATGATGTACATCAAAACTCGATACACTAAAATTAAAGATTTGAACGTCAAGTCTTTCTGAGCATCTATCCACAAAATTGTAAACATGTGACGTCATTATGCCATAGGGCAATTCATACAAAACTTAACTTCAATTCACACAGCCATACATGAAAGAAAAGAAAGGCTGTGTTAGTTATTATATTGTGTCTGTCAATAGGTTATATTACCAAAGACACAACCAGTTGTAGAGAAAGCAGATCCAGCAGTAGTGTCAGCAGATGATGATGATGAAGACACCATTCAATCAATAATGGGTACATATTGCACATATTATTTGAGTATTTAGTAACGTTGGATACAGCATTTCAGTGCTGGGACAAGTTGTTCAAARCCCCCAGTATCATTAATTYAGAGCTATTTTTAAAAGAGCAGGATTAGCACTAATGGAGCGTTAAACAACCCAGCCTTGTTATCATTTGGATTTGAATGATTGGTGTATTTTATTCATAGAGCGTATTCCTGAAGACAGCACACAGTTTTCTCATCACTGCCATTCTGCACAGAAGTGCTTGTTACTTTTATTATTGAAAGAGCATTTAAAGGAATTATATAGCTTAACAGATGGGTAAGACATTTGTTAGTACACATGAGCGGATTTCGTATGAGTGGGACAYGGTTACCACACGGTTACCGGACCTGGCCTGCAAAATTATTGTGAACCAATGGCGCACTAGAATTTGGTTACAGTACGATTACGGTCACAGTACAGTACCGTCCGTTTCCCACTCATACGAAATCCGCTCTATAGATGACAATACA